CTTTTAAATAAGTCCTGACAGCTGTGGAAAATATTATGCCCCAATACAACCCTCCCATACGACATACATTAATATGAAGAGAACCCCAAACTGTTCCTCTGGATATTTTGTAAGGTTTTATTTTATTATGGATTGGACATATTGAAGTAAGACTATAATCTTATTGTGCTCTGACCTGTGTTTTTACTGCGCTGTATAAACAGCAGTTACTATGTTAGATGGAGAAATGTTTACAGAAAGAAGAAATAAAAACAAACGGATTTATTGTGTTGCAGAAATTTGAAACAGGGCCGAAAGGCTGCCCATGTGTTTTGTGCTCATAAGACCTTTTCCTGATGGAAACAGACAGCTTAGACATGACAGAAGCACAGAGGTCCTGCGCTATCAAAAATAAAATGTAATATCCGCACTGCAGTGACTCTCTCCAGCCAGCCTTGCCTACAATCAAAGCCCTTGATACGTCTTTGCTGTTGTCTGTTCACATATAGCAGGGTTGGGATCTAATTTTTTTAATAGATTTTGAAATTGTTTTTAAGTGCTAGTGAAAAGTGCCAGATTGACAGCTCTGGAGTCTGGAGTCTCTTTTTAACCGCAGAAAGAGTACAGCACGGGAAATGGCAAAACAAACTTCCTTCCCCAGCCCTGCTCCCAAACCCCATCAGTGCAGAGGAGGAGGGAAGCACGGCACATTGCCCTTCCCCGCTGGAAACACCTCGAGCTGCAGCCATTGCCCCCTCCAGCATTAAGGCAAGAAGTTGCCCGGGGCACCCGTAAAGCCGGTCCAGGTGAGCAAAGCACCAGGGAGAACCTTTCTCTCCTCCTCTCTTCGAAAAGCCAACTTCTTCTTAGGGTGAAGATTGTTAGAGAAAACTGGACTTTTTCACATTTCCTGATTTGGCTTCTTTTGTTCTGTTGACATTTTTATTGACAAGTGTTATCAAGATCAATGCCAATATGATTCGCTTCTATTTTCCATTTTTCCAAATGCTGTGTTTTTGGCAGAAAAGAATGCTAATAAACATGTCAGTGATATCCTTGATAAGAACAGTGATTAGAAACATCATATACAAAACTTTTAGTGATAAAACACAGAAGTGAAAAACTGGCCTATTTTCAATTCCACAAAGTGGAAACAATTTTGAAATTTTTTAGGATTTTTCTGTTTTGCATTTCAACCAGCCTTGTGATCCTCCAAGTCAAATCTCCAAAGGCTGCTCAAAAAGGAAGAAAGAGCCTCTTAAAATGAAATCCTGGCCCCACTAAAGTCATCTGCAAAGCTCCAGTTGAATTCAACCCATCTAGAATTTCACCCCTTATTTGTATACTGAACAAATCTGATCTGGAGTCGGTAACACATAATAAACATGGGACCCTAGGATGCCATTTTTAGTCACTTTTCAGGGGAGAACTGTGCTTTAATTTATTTTGTCAACTGTTTCCACTTAGGTTTTGCCTATTAATGCTCCTGTTACCCACTGCACAGTGAGGTTATACCTCCTGTAAGTTCTTCTTCTCCCTTAATAGTTGTGGTACTTTTGAAAATATTGCTCTGCTTAATATGTGATTTCAGAATAATGAATGCTTGTCAAGCTGATTTTTTTTTGCTGTCTTAAAATGGGTGGATATGTTAAGCAATTTGTGCTAAGAAACAGGCATGATATGACTTAAAAATGACAGTGGGACCACTGAACGGGCCGAATTATCTAGAGCATCTTCCCAATAATCAGATGTCAGCTATTTGGCTGTTAAAAGGATGTTTCAGAATTCATGATACTTTAAATGAGTTCTGTCCCTTTCAAACCCCCATAGTGCAATGTCTGTGTATACATGAAAAATGATTTTCTGAGATTAACTGTATATCAGATAAAACCCTTAAAGATTCTGACAGCCACCAAGCAGAATAAGGAGGGTGACACACATCCTTTCACCTTCACAGAAGAGGAAATCATAGTACAAGTGGTATTCTTAGTAACATTAACAATAATCAGTAACATTAAACAAACCAGGGATGTAAGGGGATTATCCTGAAATAAGAATTAGTCAAAAAGAAAAACACATACACACACACAAAACAACAACAGAAAACAAAACAAAACAAAACAAAACACAGAAAAAGCCTGGAGAAGAATGTTTCCTGATTTTTTTTTCTCTCTCTCTTTTTTATTTTTTTTTTCTTTTTTCTTTTTCCCTCTTTTAGCAGTGGACAGTATACATATCTTCCCATTATGAATAGCTCCTTGAGAAGCTAAAGATGGATGTTCTGAAAAATGACAAATAATGCTTTTTGTGTGGAAAATTATGCTAAGTAATAAATACAACAAACATCTCTAACAAAATTAGCTTTTCTAAAGCTAAAACCATTAACTCTAAGGTCTAATCCCTTGGATGGTTCCAGGGCTGGGACAAGTACTAGCTCATCCTGGCATGCTCCAGCTCCATCGATCCTTCCAGCAGTATGCAGCTCCAACATCTTCCCCTACAGGCCTATGAGCTGTCAGGCTTTCAGGTAATGGCAGTTTTACATATAGAAACGTTGTCACTAACTCACATTAAAAGTTGACAGGATTAGATGTCAAGAAATGACATTGGTGTAGAATTCCAGATTTTGGAGGAAAGAAAGAAAGGATTTTTTTCTCATATAGTAGGTGTAGGTGTATATGTATTAAAAATGGCTATTTGAAGTTATTTAGAAATTGGGAAATCAGTAAGAAGATGTCTAACTCACTGAATGCAGGTGATGGTAAGCATTATATAAGCATTAATAAGCATAAATAAGCATTAATTGCACAGCTTTGTTAATTTTATGCCTTCTTTGCTCAAGGAAAATTGGGCTGGAAAGAAATTCTAGAAGTTAACTAGTCTCCACTGAGGAGGGATCAACTTATCTATTGTATGGGGTATAATCTACATCTTCTGAGCTAGGTGAGGCATTTTACATGATCAGAAGTGAGAGATCCGTGCAGATAGCCATCTGCATTGCTTTCAGACAGCAGAACTTGTGTTATTAGCATCATATAGGCTGGAGCTGCCTCAACACAGCGTGGAGAGTGTTTTACATCATTTCTTATCACTCCGTTGGAATACCATGGCTAGAAATTAAGTGTGGGCTGATAAGAGCTTCAAAACCTTTTTAGAGTAAAAAATTGAAAGAAATGTAACCTATTTATTTTGTCACACAGAAACTGGGACCATGGTTCCAGGTGACGTAGGAGCCACTCTAACAGCTCACTGCTGCAAAAAGGGATGGCCCAGCTTCATGCTATAGTCTCCAAGGGCCACCTACATATTCAAAATCCCTCACTGGGAGGAGATTTTGGATATCAGATAGCTCTCAATTTTATCAGTACAAAGGGTATAAAAATCAGCAGTTGGAAAGGTAACCTTTACACGGCAGTGATGTTTCCCTCAAAAAAAAAAAGATCAGTCATCTCTGATTGCTGGAACAATTTCTCCAAAGCTGTAATGGATTGCCCAAACTGGAGATCTCTGTTAACTTCCAGGGCAGCCAGAAGGTATCAGTTCAGTTCAGGAATCACTTCATGGCCTTTGTTATTTCACAGCTGTTGTTATGTCAAAAGTCAGACTAGATGATCATAACAGCTCCTTTCAGCTGTCAGGTCTTTGGAGCTATTATACAATTTTAGAAAAATCCTACCCTGGCTCCAATGAGTTACATATGGTATGAGTGAAATTCAGTGGAGAATGCTGCCTGTAGAGGTACGTGTACTCTCAGTATGTTGTTGTACAAATAGGTATAGTGCACAAAGAGAAAGACAGGTGAGCTTTTGAGTGAGCATGAGAATGAAACAAGATGATGCACTACAGAGAGCATGACAGCTCGATAAAATGGATCTCTATTTAAAACCAGTCATCTAATGGAAAAAGAGAGAACAGATGGTGAAATAACTCTCTAAACAAGCTGCTGCTTTAGACTCTGGCCTTCCACAAACAAGTTGCAAGAATTTCTGATCCATGGTCCAGTGATTAAAGAGACCAAATTCAAAGGAAGAAGTGGGGGAAATCAAAGAGGGAGGGGGATGGAGGGGGAAGAATGCATAAAACCCCAACAGTTTAGGTTTCATAGTGGAATATCAAAGCAATATTGAAATATAGGAATATCAAATACCAATACTTTATTTTTATGTTTTGCATTTACTGAATCACTTTCAATTGTATGAATCCCTCTGCCCTTAAGCCCTATGATATAAATTTTATTGGATTTAAAGGAAACAGATTGGGAATCTGGGACAGAAATATATATATATTTTACCAGTACAGATTTTATGGTTTTGCCAAAGGAAGCTTCAAAAACGTTTGAAGTGTTGCTTGCTTAGTACTCCTAACGTATTCAGAAGTCGGGAATGAGAAGAAAGAGAGATGTAAGGGAAAGCAGAGAGAGCTGTGCAAAACCAACTAACGTTTTCCCCCTGGAAGCAATAAAGTGATCAGAGGCTTCAAGTGTGCCTGGGGATGTGTGAGAGTGAGATGGAGATGGTGAAGAGAAGGGGCTCTGGATAGCTGCCAAGAGACCTAGCAATGGCCAGATCCCACTTTGGCTGGGGGGGCTGGGTGCTCCCCAGATGTGCACCTCTTCTGTTTTCAGGAAAAATATCAGTTACATTTAGGTCTGCTACCATTTGTAATAGGGATAATCAATGATCTGATCATCCATTAGCAGTCTTCTTCACCATGGTGGTGACTGCCATTGGTTTGTGCTTTCCAGAGACCAGTTGTCTGCTTGGCCACTTCTGTTTGTGTGTCCTACTAGGCCCAGTGCTGGAGGCTGTACTGCTGCAAGTCCAAGGCTGCAGCTTCCTCAAGACCCAAAATGCAGAACTCCATTCAATGTGGAAAGCTGCTTTGCTGAAAGGATGAGCAGCTGGTTGCTAAATAGTTCCTCATCCTGCCTACCTTGGCTATGAGTCTCTTGGGCTAGCTGCAAAGCAGCTAATGGTGATGACCCACACACCTGAGCCTCTCTGTAGCAGCTGTAGTAAGTTAGGATGTTAACAAGGAGGATGAAATAGTCCTCCTTTGACTCTTTCAACTTCTTGGTGAGAAGAAAATGGAGAGAAAATTTCTTCCTGAAAAGGAAATGATGGTTGTGGAAGGACGTACAAGAGGCAGGGGAAGCTTTAATACCTCCTGGCTTTGGGGAAGCTGAGGGAGCCACAAGGCCTTTAACTTCCATAAATAAGGCAAATGTGGACAAAAACATGAAGTCTGTGGTGATGGTGGTGTCACCTGTTGATTCTAAACACTGAGAAATTCAGTTGTTTTCATCACTGATGACTGAAGGGGCCAAAAAAAAGAACTGGCCTACCACAAGGTAGGAGTTGCTGAAGGAGGGGAATGTATTTATGGAGATAGCTGAACCTGAATGAGGAAGGGTGTTGATCTGCCTTTCTTGAAATGTATGGGGCTGGGTATTTGTTTCTGGTTGTCAATGACTGGTCTCCATTAACCCTGAGTAACTCTTTGTTTTCTGAGTAGTCTCAGAGATTCTCCAGACACAGAGGAGGAAACTGGGAGGCAGAATGGCTGGTGGAAAATGAAGAGTATCTGTGGCCTTCATTTACTTCAGAACTATTCCAGAAGCTCTACCGGGAGAGGTAGGACCAGGCAGTTAAATCCTCTACCAAAGATGGGAGGTCATATAGCTCCATATATAGGTCATATAGCAAATTCACCAAAAGCATTAATTTGTGTGAGCAACTGTACTTTAGAGCCATCTTGTTTACTTGGGCATTGGTCACTGAAAGTGTTTAATAATGGCTATTTATGTTGCCACCATTTGAAGTTGCTCTGTCCTCAGAGTTCACATTCACTCTTCCACTAATGTGTCACCACTTACTTGTCACTAAATTACATTTTAAATGTATAACCTCTTTAATAAGAGATGGGCCCAGCAAATAGTTTCTAGCAAAATATATTTTTTAAGCTAAATCCTGAGTTCACTTCAGCTGTGTTTGTAATCTCTGAATGCTGAAGAGAGCAACTTTGCTAACAGTGATGTCTTCAGGAAAAATGACTGCCAAGCAGATACTAGAGACTATGCATGGAACATAAATTATAATGAAGTAAGAGTGTGCCGTAACACTTACCTTGCGTTAATACAAGCAGAAGATAATCTGTAATGTGTTCAATAAATTTAATACCGGATATTTGTAATTGTTCATTGGAATCACTTCTGTGATTGGGGAAAAAAACAACAACAACAAAAAAAAACAACACATTTTTTCCTAGAGAAAATACATTTATTGTGCTTTTAATTTTTCTTCTCCTGAAGAAGCCTACATGTATATTGACCAAAAAATGCTTCTCGTTCCTGGCCTTTTGTTGCTATTTCAACAACCAAACTTTTTGTGTAAAGCGCTTAAAAATCTGAATGAATTCTCATGAGATTCTGAGTAGAATCTGAAAAACTATTCATCAAGAATTATGATAATTAATCTGATTAAGCATATTAAGTGAAAAAAAATCATCTGCCAATTATCTAATTTCAGAACTAAAAGTATGTTGTGGAATGATCTGGAACAAAAATAAAAGGGTAACTTCTGTTCAGTAATTAGTGGGATTTGTCAAAAGCACACTCAGTGTTCCCCACAGGTTTGCATATTAATGTGAATTAATTAAAAAAAAAAATAATTCAATGATATAATATTCTTATTGATTTTGATCTCAAGGAAAACTTTAATTGAATTCACTGGACTATAGATTCTAGGCTCTGAAAAGAAGGTTATTGCTATCCAGTGTGGAAAATCTCATCCTGTGGGAGAGGAGGGATAACCATAATACCAGTAATTCTTGACAAAAAACCGTCTATGTGGCTGCTGAAGGAAGACAACTGTGGCATTAAAAAATCTTTACTATTAAATTACAATGTGTACTAGGACTTACACTCTGAAACAGACTTTCTTGTGCATAATCCTGGTTAATAAAATGGTTGGAAGGTTTGAATATTTTTTAGCTGATGGTTCTGACAAGTTAAGACTAAATATACATTGCTGCAACCACCGTTGTATATACGTTTCATGCACAAATGGAGAAAATAACATGTTGACTGTAATTTCATAAGACCAGAGGGATCAGTCTCAGATTCGTATCTTAAGATAAAACAGTGCAATTACCATCGCAGTCCATCTTTGGAATGTCTTCAGTCTAAGAAAAGTCAACCATAATTGTGGATTTCAATGGAATATAGATGTAGCAAAAATGTTTCAGACCACTGTGATTACATCATCTGCATCTTGAAGATCCTGTGCTGTTCACTCCTGAGCCCAGCACAGCCACAGCTCTCTCGGTATGCTGTAAAGATCAGTGATACTGTACAGATGAAGAAAAAACAAACAAACCCCAATTAGGGCTTATAGGGATTAGTGTGCCAACATACACAGGTTTGCTTGCGTGCCTGGAGAGCAGAGGGTGAGGCCTGGGGGTCTTGGCTGTGATCCCACCTCACAGGCTTTGTTCAGGCCAAGGGTGGGTGGTGGAGGAACCACTGCCCATCTCTGTGTCCCTCTGATGAAAATATAGGGCCAGAGGAGACTGCCTCTTATATGGACAGTCTATAAACACCTCACTGGGGCTGCTAGTGGTGGAGACCTTCGTGTGGGTCGCCTGAAAGATTTGCCAGAAGTGACTTCTTATAGCTGGGGAATGCAGTAAATGAGAAGAGACTGGAGAAATGAGACCTTGTGTTAGCAGGGCAGCTCTAGGACCTGTGCTCTCTCTCCCTCTTCTGCAAAACGGATAGACCTCACTGGGATGCTCTTGTTCTCCTGCTGAAAACTTGTGCTAGCACTGGGGCACAGACAGTCTGCCCTGTCGTCTATGGGACTGTCAGCACTGTGATGGATGGGAGCTGGGTGGAAATGCAGGAACGTGGCAGAGAGCACAAGAGTGATCCCCGAACACCATTACTACCTTGAGCTTTTGGTTTCTTTTCTGTCCCCAAAGGCACTGTGTATACATTGTGTATCCTGCTTCTCAGCCATAATAGAGCAATGTGACATGCCACATATGGTGCCATGGACCTCTTTTATTTAACCCACCCTTGGAAAAAAAAAAAAAATGCAGTGCCACCGCCATCTCACAGACTTATGCAAGTTATAATAATCACCATTTTAATTTTTCCCACAACTTTGAGGCTTAATAGCTTTAAAATCTTACAAGTTGTAAAAACAATTAAAGCAATAATTTTAAAAATAAGCAGAATGGGACCTTCAAAAGAATGTGAACCTTTAACACTTCACAGTTAAATAAGGACCTTGTAATACAGTCACTTGAAGGCCAGCCCTGAGAAAACGCAGAAGCATCCTGTGAATTTGTTGATGCTAGTTCAGACAGACTGTTTATTTTCATGATTTCATGGAAGAATTTTAATTTAATGAGTGTTTTATACACTAATGTAAAGCATAGTTTCAACCCTATAATTATTGTGTCAAAATATTTCTGCTTAAACAGCAGCAGCTGACTACAGAAATGTGATTTACATCTGAATTGTATCAGGGGGACACTGCTAAAAATAATCATCATGTGTCTCTTAATTGAATAAAAAAATTAACAAAGACTATCAATGTATCTCTCAGCCTCAGTATTTCTGCCTTTCATTTAAATGTTCTGCTTATTTGCTTATTGACTTTTTAGGGCTAAGGTTTCCAGAAAAAGTAAAGGCACAGAATAGCCGTGTGTCATTTTGCCCACCCGTTTCTCCCTATTGCACACACAGCGATGGGAAATTGCATGAGCAAATTGTCGGTTCCTGTCATTGGGAGCCTACATTTTTTGAAAATCTCACCATTAATCTTTCAGCTCAGTTTTAAAATAACCAACTGCCATCATGAAACAGGTTTCTCATGCTGTTTAAGGCTGTCAGCAGGTTTTGACCAGTTCAGGCCACATTTCGCTCTTGGAATGGGGTTAGAAATGTGTTTTTTTGTTGTTGTTTTTGTTGGAGAATTAATCTTTTGAGGTAATGCCTAGGACAGCTTCAGATGGGAGAAATCTTACTTGCACACTTCCAATCTGTTTATACCGTCACACCACTGGAGATAGGAACATAGCCTTGCTGCAGCTGCCCTGGTCTTTGTCTAGCATTTGTCCTTCTGTAGAGTAGGGCTGTTCTCTGTTTGTCTTACGGTACCTTCTAGAGGCCCCAGATGAGGCAGTGTGCCACTGTACTGAGTGTTGCATGCCCCTCCAAAGGAGGGAAGGTCTTTTCCCCAAAGAAACTCCAATCTACACGCACAAGCCAAGGCAAAAAGAGGAAGCATCATTATCCTTATTTTGGAAAGTGAGGGCTGATATTAAGGCTACTTCCAGATGGGTAGATATGGCACCCTTCTGCCATGTTTGGCTCCCTACCAAGGAAGGTCTCTAATGCCCCCTAAAACCTCCTGTGCCCACCATTCCCATCATAAAGGAGGGAGGGGCAGGAAAGGAAGAAACCAAGGGCCATAGCCCCCTTAATTCAGCAGAGGAATGCAAATCTAGGATAGCATCATAGCATATACCTGCCCTTCAGTCTAGGCAACTTCCAACATTATGTTAATGTTTGAACTCAACTGGGAAATCTGTAGTGAAGCAACTTCTTTGCCTGAGATGTTTAGTTTCACTCATGCACAAAGTAGGGGTGGGAGGGGAAGCCCATGATGCAGTACCATATACACAAATATGCTCAAGTTTGTCTTGTTTTCAAGGGGTACAGTAGCCTGCTTCTCCTCTTCTGCACCGTGGGAGCTTTTGTGGGTTTTCATTAAGGAAATGTCCCTTGTTTGTTCAAAGATATTTTAAGATAGCTAGCTAGTTTGCATATCCTCAGTTTTTCTTTTTCTTTTTTTTTTTCTTTCTCTTATCATTCTGCTTTGTGCTAGTTTCTTTGCACAAAACAGTGCTTACAGCCAACATTTTCTTTTTGAGCCAAGACAGCATCAGCAGACTGCTCCAGCAGCTCTGCAGCAGTGTCAGCAGCCCAGGGTTCAGCAACGAGACCCCAAATGTTAGCCCAATGCACCCCAGTGAGCTACTGAGATCTCCCCACCAAGGCTTGATAGACACTGTCTAAATCTGTTTAGTTCTCTTTTGTTACTATTTTCTGGCTTAAAAATGTATGATTATGGCCTTGCACAACCAGTATGTGAAAGTGAAGAAATCTGCAAGTTAGCAAGAAGTTTCTGTTATGTGTGGCTAAACTGTGTAAACATTGCATACATGCCTTATATATCACACATGGGCATAGAGGTATATGTGTGTGTGTGTGTATAAATATTATGCTTTCCTTATTTGACGAAGCAAAAATTTGGACTCCTCTAAAATTCCAGGCCTGATCCTGATTCTTCTGTATGCATTAGCTTTAGTGCACTGTATTCCTGCGGCAACAGATACTCTCCAATGTGAGCAATGTGATACTAAACCTTTTTCACAGGGCAAGATCCTGAAGATTTGCTATGCCCTTTCATGACACTAGGATCAACTTGTATAGCTGAATCTGGTATTCGTATAGATTTCAATGTCTCTGTGGGAACTGCATATGCTCTTTTTATTTTATACTAAGATTCCACTAAATTGTCCCTTGGATTTATTTCAAAGAAGGAGAAGGGGGAAAAGGCAGTAAAGATTGCTCTTCTTATGCTTTAGTTGTTTTTTTAACTCAATTATATTTTGACAATTCTGTATGAAACTTTGGAGTATGTCTTTGTTTAAGCAGTATACCTTCCATAGGAATAGTCAGTTAAATGTATATGGCTAGTTTCAGGGATAACAAGCTTTGACAAGGGCATTTAGCGGTTGTAATTCAAATCTAATTCAGAACATCTTAGCGCTGGACCTGTCAAGCACTTGAAATGCACTGTAGCTGCAAAACCAAGGGATATGGTCCCAGTCGTGCTCTGTGTGGCATCAAGCTGATGTGTCAACAAGAGCAGTTACAATTACAGGTTCTTTCAAGCATACTAAACTAATTTACAGTACTCTGAAAATGTGGGAAAAGGCCTTGCTAGCCTAAAAGGTATATGGGACTTTCAGACTGCAAAGGCAAGGCAAGTGACAAGGCCATTTCACTCAAGAGTTTCAGTATTATGCAGTTTCAGTACCACCTTTTCTTTCTTTTTTTTTTTTTTTTTTTTTTTTTTGGGGGGGGGTAGATTTGTAACTAGATATTTTCTAGATAATAATAGATTTGCCTTGAAGCCATCAAATACTCTTGTCAAATCCCATTAGAATCACGTTGCACGCTTGTTTGAAACCTCAATCTGAAATGCACCCATTTGCTAAGTGAGGATGGGGTCCTAATTGCACCGGCAGTGACTGGTCCTTTTTGTTTGTCTGTCTTGTTTATATACTAAACACCACTCAGCCTGGCTGCAAAATGCCTTGGCTTCTTCTGCCAGGGCACTGGCACAGGTTGCCCAGAGAAGCTGTGGATGCCCCATCCTTGGCGGTGTCCAAGGCTAGGCTGGATGGGGCTTTGGGCAACCTGGTGTGGTGGAAATGTCTCTGCCCATGGCAGGGGGTTGGAACTGGGTGGGCTTTAAGGTTCTTTCCAACCCAAACCATTCTGTGATTCTATGGTTCTGCTTACATGGATTAGAAAACTTAGTGCAAAGGGAGAGGTCTCTCCAGAAGCAGATCTGATCCAAGGATGTCCCACAAAAAACAAGACAGAATTACAGTAACCAACATGTAATTTTAACATCAAGATATAAAAAGACTTGATTTTAAAGTGCACCAGTGATTTAAAGCAGCTGCACACATTTAGAGGCCATTGCTTTAATGTGCGCACAAAGGCTAATGGAAGCTTTTACAAAAGAAAAAAAAAATAAGGTTTTATGATTTATCTACTTTTTATGCACAACATTATAGGCCCTCTCCCTGGGGACTCATAAATGTGATTTTTACTTCCCAAATTACAAAGCTAGTCAATTATTTGGGAATGAGTCATTCATTCAAAAGTGTCTGTAACGGGATGTGTTAACCATCAGGAAATTTTACACCAATTGGAATTATAAACACCAGAGTAAAAAAAGCTCATGGCCAACCAGCTATGTCTATTTGTGAAACCTCATGCATGGAGCACGGTGTAATGCATGCTGGAGAAGCCCTGAGAAGCTAACTTCTAGGGTAGAAGGGGGCAGTGATTTTTTCCTTTTTTTTTTTTTTTTTTTCCTTTCACTTGTATAAAACGTGTTTATTTTATTTTGGAATAATGTAGTTAGCAAGTCTGTAGCAACTTGCAGTCAAGGCTCCTAAGGTGCCTTATAAACCTTCATCAATTAAGCCTTGCAGCCAAATACAGGGGAAGGAACCATTAACCCATTTAATGGAAAGAGAAGCTGAGGGCCAGTGGTGGCTACTGGTGAGCATACACTTGGGCATTTCCTTTGGTGGCCAAACCCACTCCTTCCCCTAACACAACTCCATCAAGGCTGAGCCAAAGGAGCCGGTGCTGATTTGGATCTGCTCTCTCTTTTATATACCCCTTGGATCCTAAGAGCTTGCATTAACTCACCCAGAACTTGTTCCTTGGGTTGATAGCAAGCCCTGGGCATGGATGCAAACAAAACTCATGGCTTGTTCCTAAGCTGGTTGCCAAAAGATGTATGATTATAACATTGAACTGTCTTTTTGCCACTGTAACTTCCAGCTGTGTTCTAGACCCAATTAAAAAACCTCTGGAGCGGAGAGAGAGAAAAGAGAACTGTGTATGAGCAGACTGATATGTCTCTGTTGACATTTCCTCTGTTCCTGCCTGCTGAAGAAATGATATAACAATTCCCTCCTGGCTCTCGGGGTCTGAAGTCACTAGTGCTGTGACTTGTCCCCACACTTGCCTACTAAATTTTATGTGACAGAGGGATTGTGACAAAGTCTCAATAATATTAGATTATTATTAATTCTATTTTTATTTATTTTAATAGAAGCTGCAAAGGCATCCTTGTAATATTCAGAGTCTTTCTCTCCTGCCCCTTTTCCTTGTCCTACTCCTCAAAAAATTGGAAACTGGGATCAGTTTCTCTGCTGAACAGCATTTCTCAAATCACATGCCCATAAACTTGCCCTAGTAGAATTGTTCATGAATCCTGCATAACTGGAGTTCATTTCTTTTCTGGAGATGACATTTAATCTTTGTTCTCAGGAAAACAAATTCATTCATGCACATCAATGAAAAATGAAGGGTGAAAAAGTAGGGATAGCGTATTTATATTGCCACTGCTTTTTAAAGTATAAATGGGACCCAAATCATTGTTTTTTACTTATTTATTTATATCTCTAAATGAATTTGAGCATTGTAAATAACTTCAGTGATGTTTGCCTCTGTTCTGTGCAGTAAGTGTAGCAAAGAACTGAGTTTTTTGCTTGTGTGTCATCCTTTGCTACAACTGAAATATATTTTAGTAGAAAGTAGACTCTTAATTAGTGAACATAGTCTTCAGGCTCCTAGGTGCTACAACATGTGAAACATAAATCTTATCTCCTCTTGGTCCCAAATGGGCCGCCGGTTCCACATGAACAAAACCCAAATGTCCATGTGAGGACAGAAGTAGAGTTATACAGAGTGCTTGGAAATAAAAGAAGAGAAGCCACCACATAGCAGTGTCTAGATGTGGTCACATACATTAGGTGCCTTGGGGATAAGTCTTAGAAAGGGTAATTCAGACTTGAAATGGGCCACAAGGCATTGGCTAAATGTTGTCAAGAATGGGGAAAGCTTCAGGTACAGGAGTAACTGGCATAGATCTCATCTGCAGGCGGATGCAGAAAAGTGAGTGGTGTCATAAGGCCTACAGCAGATAAGGCTCATTTTCTTTTCTTTTTTTTTTTTTTTTTTTTTTTAATCTCAACCACTGGAGTGCAGAACCGGGTATTTTGCATCTTCAGGTATTTCCTTGCAGCTGCATTTCTGCAGGCTTATCTGCAAATACTGCCAACACAAGGCTGGCATGATGAGGTCTGTTTTCTCTGGGAATGGAAGCAAAATGAAACATCATCTCGTGAATCCTCTAAAACCTGGGTATTCAGAATCTGTGTCCAGATTTGAATAATGTGGCATAATACCAGCAAAATGACAGAGGGCTGTAGTGTTTGTTCAAAGAGAGTGGTAAAGCCAAACCATGCTTATAAACAATCAACTTCATTGAATATCCTGTTTTCAGGTAATGCCATTATCCAAGCAAAGTCTGTATCCTACAAGGATGTGAAAATGTCATTACCATTAAGTGTGTGAGCAGATACATTGCCTTCAAAAAAAAAAAGTCATATATAATGTACAAATTAAATATATTTTTAGGTGCTTGCAGAACTAATTTCTAACAAAGCCAGTTATGGCTCACAGACTCAGGCCCTGAATAGTGTGGTAGTGCATGATGAAAGCTTTCCTTCTGTAAATTACTTTCTGTGAAACACTTTAACTGAGTTCCAGACAAGTGGGAAGATTAAAAAAAGGTGGAAATTTTCAGAGAAAAATAGATTTCCTGAAGTCTTAGTTAATATGTCAAGAACTTATCTGTTACATAAGGCTAAAGGGTCAGTTGTTAAATTTTTAAGTATTTTCCTGACATGTATTTTTCCAGAGAAATCTGAAAAATGTTAAGTAGCTTGGACTCAGGTATTATTTACAGTGCAAATCAAGATTTTTTTTTTCTTTTTCTTCCACCAAATCCACATGCCAGGAATCTGACATAAGATCTGAACCGCAACGATTGAAAATTAAGAAAAGTAAAGGCTATTCTCTTTGTCATCACACTTCCACTTATAGCGATATGCTCTTTTGTTATTAAACAGGCCCAATCAAAACAAAAGGGATACTGTTTCTTTTATGAGTAATGTACTAACCTACCAGCAGAAAAAAGTTCACATAAAGCGTATGGGTTCAGACAGCATAAGATTTATTACGATGGCTACAAAAATTATTCCTTCTTAACAGCACTTAAATTGTCTAATTATTCACAGCTGTTTTCAATTTGTTTCAGGTTCTTAATTAGGGGGTAGGGTCCTCTGCCCAAGTTCTAAACCAGCAATGCAAAGAGCTAAGAATTGCTTCATGCTGAACTAGCCCAGCCCTGGGGCTGATTAGTGGAATCCACTGCAAGATAATTTGTTATTCATACTTATCCATTCACCTCCTGCTGGGCTGAGATAAAGGTATGGAGAGATGTAATTTCCTTCTTGTTTGTGTAATTATTTTGACCTATCAAGGCAATCATGGACTTAGGGAGAAAAAAAATAGTAGTGTTTGTTGCTCTTTTAGAGGAGCAATGCAGGGTAAATGGATATATTTGGGAACTAGCACCTGATAGTCTTAAGTGATCTCTGGATATGGTGTTGGGAGATCCTTGTTAAAATTTTGTGTAGCAGCAGGAGGCTGTGTGCCTGAGGGATTTTTGGGAAGCCAAAAGATGCACCACTTGTGGGTAGGAGGGACTGCTGGGTGCTTTGGGCTTCCAGCAGAGGCATCTTTCTTGAAGAATGTTACAGCAGGACACAGCTGGGCTCTGCTGGTTGTAGGCAGGGAGTTAACACTCTATAGCTGAGAAGAACATGCCAATTCTCTTTTTATATATGGGACTATAAAAGTGGGGAATTATGTCGCATTTAGAAAGATGAGGACTCAATTATTCTTTTCAGGTTGCCTCGCGCTTGCTCAAGACTTTTTCTTTCCTTTGAAAGGTATCCATGCTTCAAATGTTACAGCTTTGAGAAGGGAAAAGCCAAGGGGATGTCTTGTTTTCCTTCTGTCTGTGGAAGCCGTGAATTTTGGATCGGCACTGTAATAAGTAGGTGCAATTCCTACCCTTGCATGCAGGAGTTTGCACTTGGGTTGGGTGGTTAACTGGGCACATGTAGTAAAGGGAGCTCGAGCCGTTCCAGAGGAAGTCTTACTGGTTTAAATAGGAGTGAGATTAGGACCAGAATAAGTCTTTCAGGTCACCAGCTGCATTTAGCTGGCCTTGTTAAAGTTTAGGTCCTTAATATCTGTGGGTGAGTGTATGAAAGAGGGTTATGGGGTGAATTGGTCAGCAGATTTGAGGTTTGTTTGTGGTCCCTGTGGACTCCCCTACTGAAAAAAGTCTTAGAGAGTTTAATACGAAAAAAGAACCTTTTATTTTATATTTTAGCTATCCTGTAGGATTTAGTAGGGAATTATATCCTGACTATGGACATTTTTTTATGGTTCAGATAACTGTAGGCAAGACTGATTTGTGCATTACTGCATTTTTCTAGTGTGTCTCAATTATAGAAACATCTGCACTAAGTGAACTTGAAACCTCTTTGATTCCCTGTGCAAATTCTCACTATTCAAAAGCCCTCATGTTTTCCTATTTCTTGCCTTTAGCTTAATAGTTTCAGAGTGGGTTGCAACAGTATGTACCTGTGTAGCTTACAAAGGAAAGAGGCAGTTTTTATAAAAATGTAATTACTTAAATCTTTCAGAGCCTACATTCAAAAAACATACCCAGCACTGATTCATCTCCTGGAAGTTATCAGCAGCATCTGTTGTCTCTGGTAAAGATGAAGATTTTCAGCCTAAATCACAGTACTTACTCCATGCAGCACTTGATTCGGCTGGGGAGGTGATGTGAATCCCCTTCTACAGTCATGGCTGTTTAATGCCTTAGTGGAATTTTGTCTATTTTACAGGTACATTGTGATTTTCTATTACTCTCTGATGCCGTTTCCACCAGTGCAAAATCAGCATCAACTGCTACCTCCCAGCCTTTAGCTGGGCTGTTTCACAAGATGCAGGATAGCAAAATTTATTTTTTTTTTTCCCCCAGCTAATTGGAAAATGAAATAAAACACATCATTAAGTTTCCAAAGTCATTTTCCAGGTTCATATAACCAGTTTATAGCAAGTTGCTCTTGTGTTGGACAACCCAACTAAAGTGTGGATCTACTCAGTGGTGAATGGTTTGGATTAATTTTTTGCTGCAGGGTGCCCCCAACACATGGTAATAACAGCTCCAGGTCCCCAGGTGCATGATGGCCTGAGTGAGAGTGGCCTGAGACCAGTTTAGGTTCTTGACTTGACCCTGTCTCCAAACAGAGCCCAGGGACAGTATTTCTTTTTCAGCCACTCCTCAGCAAACAAAATGCCCTGTAGGGCCTTGCCTGCTGGTTTTTGCCCATGGCAGGAGGTGCAGAACCCCTGTCTTCCATGTGGTGGTAGCCTCTGAGAGAGGATGACCTTATTGTCATCTCACCTGGTAAAAGGCAGTCTGGTTCCTGTAAAGTTTTCTGTCCAAACAAGTACAAAAAGCTAAGAAATAATACCAGAAACCAAGTAACTGATGTCAATTTCTGCCATCAGGATGGTTGTAGTAGGCAAGGACTGGGCCCTATGGCTGTTCCCCTTGGAAGAAGTCAGAAGTCAGGAAGCATCACCAAGGCGTCTGTGGTACAGTTCAGAATTGAACTAAAAGTTCATAACTCGCTTCTTTTTTTTTTTTTTTTTTTTTTTTTTTAATCTAGCCTTTCCACCACTGGGCTGATGTGTGTTGGATGTAGATGAACATCTGCTGATATATAATTATATGATATATAATTTTTATGATATATAAAAGGGACAATGCTCACTGAAATAGATTAAAAGTCTCTTAATAATAGCACTGGGCTTTGCCTGAGATCTGGAGTGAAAGTATTTGAGTGGGCATGAGATAATTTAGGCTGTTCAATGACCATTGCTGCTGTATGTCCTCTGCCCAAACTCAGCAGCAAGTGGATTTTGATAGAAACAACAGACACTGGCTGCTCTGAGATGGCTGATATCTGAGCCTTGAGAAAGTTTAGTCCCATTTTGGATTTTTGTGATAGCACTCTGAAATGTGTCCAGTAAATTCAAACCATTCTGGAGATGCTTCAGAAAAATTTATACCAATATAATTTTATGCTCGCATAAATCATCTCAGTGTTTTGTTAAGTCTTAACTTAGTTTACATTTTAGTCGCTCACTGGTACACCAGTAAGAAAGAAATATCCTTAAAGAAAAAACAGCTGGTGACTCAAAAACAAATCCTGCTAATATTTCTCTCCCAATAAAATTGCTATCACTGATACGAAGGCAAAATCTTCACATTATATATGATAAGACTATAATACATAATACATAAAACCATAATGCTTTAAGAGCTAGGATTTAGAAAATATATAGGGAAACAAAATTACATTCACTGCTGGGCACTCAATTACTGAAAAGTATCTAGACAAACTGGTAGGGCTTCAAGGAGGAGGCTTTGAAGTGATGGGAAATCCAGTGGAACTGTGTTATGAGGAAGGATTAAAACACCTAAACCCATGTCTAAGGAAGAGGTGACTCAGGGCTTTGACTTGCATCAGCACTGGTCCCCTCTGCAGCTTGCTTAAGGAGGCAAATTGAGGCCGTGGTGAAGCAACAGCAGGAGGAAGTACAACTGCCCTGCAAATGTCTCAGCGAGATGCAGGTGAGGTGTTATGTACTCATGGTCACACAGACAGCGTCTGACAGAGCCATGGATCCAGCCAGGCCTTGAGGTCCAGGGACATATCCAAACCAAAATACTGCACAGGAGGCAAAATCACATACTGTGTTTATTTTTGGACAGGTTGGTTGATCTAACAGAACTGTTTCCCTTCAAGCATGAATTATTTCCATTCAGGAAATAATATCCTGACAAATCAGGATATATTTCCTTATTAAAATCATATTCCTTATTTTAATCAGTTGGAAAATGAAATTTACTCCTGCAAGAACACACACACACACACACACATAAATGACTTAAAGGTCAAGATATTGACATTATGTTGTCATTTTACGTGTGAGAAAACCTGTTTCACAACTGGAGCTCCATTAATAAGGAACTCAGACATTCATATCCAGGCACACAAGATACAGTGCATGGATGCTCATCCAGGAACTGACCAATAAACCTGTAGTAAGGTAATGGACTTAAGCTTGTGTATAAATTCTTTCTGAATCAGACCACAAATTACTTCTGCTTCCTCCATATTTGGAACTTCCTCTTTTTATTTTGTTTAGAAAAAAAAAAAAAAAAGTACTTATCCCACTTAAAACCATTTCCTTTTTCCTCTTTGCAAAGTGAAAAAACAGAGATGTGAATTAGTAAACATATAAGAGCTATACATCTGCTGCAACAAGTTATTGTTGGAAATCTTGAATCCTAATTAAGGGGAAGAAGAAAAGACGACCTTTGGAAAGTGATAATGTAATATTTTATGAATATAAACATTTGGAGAGCTGCAACTGCTTTTGTGTTTGAATTTATAAGTGAAAGGTAAAATATTATTAATGTAAGTGAAACATGCTTCAAGCAAAGAATAAAGCAATGAATCATGTTAAATGAATTTTTAAAGAACGTGCAGGGGATATGTTCCTGAATGGTTAGTTTCTTGCAAACAGGCTGTTAGATTGAAACTGTATCTGTGGTTTGCTGTTTAATGAAAGAGCAAGATAAACTGGGGAGACTACGACAATAATGAAAAAACAGAAATTCATGAGACAGGTTTCGTAGAGCACTTCCTCAGGGAGAGGAAAAGCAGGAGGGATGGATTGCTAATGACTACAAGTAGTACATTTGATGGCATTACCAGGCAATGTAAATACAGGCTAATGGCCTCATCCTGCAACACCTCTTCAGAGGTGCTGAGTGACCAGCCTCAACACTGACAGCAGCCAGAAGAAGCCTAGACTTTTTTGGGGATGAGACCTGACCTTCCTGGGAACAACAACAACAAAAAAAGCATAGGATCTGGTCTTTGGGACACACAACTCCAGGAGTCGTCAGCCCCTTCAAGTTTCTGTCCAGCACAGCTTGAGCTTCATGGGCTTCATTACGAATTTCTGCATTAAAAGCTCCCATTCTTACAGTTACTTAGGGATGCATTCAGGTGCTTATGTCAGGTGGCTTCCAGCTGCCACTCCATAAGGGCATGAATTGCTTGTAGGGGACCCCAGTCACCTCTGCTGCCCTTGTACAGATGTCATAGGTGTCCTCAGAGGTCCAGATGGCACTAAATGTCTGTGGCTAGGCACCACCACTGCTCCCTTTGTTCCAATAGGGATATCTGGATGGATGAGGTAGGTTTTATTTTATTTTGTTTTAATGATTCCTCTCCAATGTCTCCACTGCATTTATGCAGGTGAAATGTTGCTGGCTTAGAGCCCTGGAGCTGGAACCCTCCCTGGATGAGAGCTGGTTTGTACATAGTGATATACAGCAACTTTTAACACAAGCCTAATGGGTCACGAAGACTGCAACTCAATGAAGAAAAGAGCACCCATGCTTATTGTCATTGGCAGTTTTGTTTTTAGACAACGTGCATGGCAAAAGAGCAGTAGTTCTGGCACTAAAACATTATTATATAAAATTCTTCTCTGTGGGTCTTGTGCCAAATTCAGCTATTGTTTACATGCATGCGCTGCATTCAGTGGCTGGTGTTCTTCCCACAGACACGGGAGCACATTCCCTCTTTCTGTTTTCCCTTCAGCTGCACTGCTCCTTCTCTAAGTATGGCAGGTTTAAAATACCAACGAAGTCCTCTTTAACCTGCCTGACCTTTAAGCACATGGCCTGTGAAAACATCATCTTCTTTATATCTACCATACTCTGTATATCCAAGTACACGTTTGACATTTATGCTTTCCTGAGGCAGTAAATTTTCCTTCTGCTGATACTGAAGTAAATGCTTTAATCAGAGTAAATCTGACTCTTTAAATCAGCTAACTACATCTATGGTGAATTAATTACTAAAACCAGCTGCGCTTAAGGAGATTGGATGTTTCTACTATTTATTTAGAGCATGACTTTTTTTCAACAGTTCCTCAAGAGATTTAATCTCTGTTCAAATGAATAATTCCAGTTCACTGCAGCAGCACTAGTATGTGGGATAGGTGTTATTAGTTCAGACCCTAAAATTAATGTAACAGTTATTGCAGCCAGTGAACATCTGTGCTGCCAAGGGAAAAACCAGACTGAGCAAGGCTGAAGGAAGTCATCTTTAACTCACGTTGTCTACAAAATGTATCTTCCTCTGAGCAGGTGATGTTCCCTGAGCACAGAGCCCTGGGCACGGCTGTGCTGGAGGATCTCTCTCTGCTGCCTCCCTCCAGGCAGGCCCTGGACTTAGCCCTAGGTCTGATCCCCTCCTAAACACTCTGCAGATACAGCCATTGGGCCCAGACTGAAATCAATCAAAGCTTTCCTGCAATTTTTAACGGGAAATGCGTCAGGCCTCCATAACAACAATAGCTCATAATTAAAGACACTCTTTAAAACTTAATTTGGTTGAGAAAGGAAGCTTTTGCTGTTTGGAGGAAATGCCAATCCAAACCCTTTTTGTGCAAAGAGTCTTTAATGGTTTTCAAAACCTGCTGTAACTGTCTAGGATAACTCAGAAATTCAAACTTCTGAAGACCTCTTTTCTCCCATGCAGATGATCAAAGCAAATTCCCTCCTTTTCTGTTTTTCATGTGTTTCACAAATTTCTGTCAATTATACTGAAACTCAGGCAAACCATTTAGTTCATATTTTGTTATGAAAGAATGTATTTTTCATTTTTTTTCCCAGAGTTTTCACAATATCTTTCCGCTAAATATGACTGCTGTTGCTCAGAAAGCAGTGAGTTTGGCCAAACCTCTTTAATAGATGAAAACTGTAATGGGTAATAAAACTAAGAGCTTCCCACACCCAGATGGATTCCCATTATTTAGCCCTTTGTTTCTTTCTCAAAATACTTTAAAAGCAGAAGGGCCTGTATCCAGACCAGCCTGCACAGGCACTTTCTGCAACTCAGCATCGGGTTGTTTCCCAAGACACCACTGAACATCTAATTTGTGGTGGAAGCATCTTTACATGAGATCTCCATTCTGGCTTGGTTAAAATGCTGATTGTGGAGGGCAGGCTGTGCATCTGTGATGCCCTGAAGCCCCTCAAGGGTATAAGGGGCTGGTGTGGTGCGGCAACAGGGGGGATCGCACTGTCCCCATGCAGCACCAGTGCTGGGAAAGGCTAGCTTGGCTTTCCTGACTGGCATGTGCCCAAGAAGCAACACCAATCAAAATTTTAGGATGTTCACCAGAAAGCTGGCATTCATCTTCCAGAAAAATGCTATGTTTTCCAAGCCACTATTTTTGGCAGCCACGGCTGAAAGGGACAGAATGAGAGCAAGAGGAAGGGGTCTTGGAGAGAAGGACAAAGGAACTGGGGCCATGTAACATGCTAAGGAAACTTCCCCCACCAGAGCTTGAGCTTCAGCTCAAATTTATTTTGCCCTAACATACAAATCAAATGCAATAATAGGAAGGAAATCAAGCATCGTGAGGACTTTCTCTTTACCAGACTTCACATCAGAAAAGCAAAGTGTATCTTAATGCACTCTAGGAAGTGTCATGCTTGCTTCTGGTTAAGTCTGGAAGGTTTTGACCAACATCAAAGCCTGGCATCTCCGGAGGAGTGGTGTGTGTAGGAACTTCGAATGCCTACTTCCCTGTCCAAACCTGTGGAAATCTGAATTCTTCCTTCCAGAGCCAGTGACATGAGTTGTGTTTAAAATGGGCATCATTCAGCTGAAAGTGCTGGCTCTGCGGATGTCAGTGCTCTTGAAATCT